AGGATCTCAGGCGGCTTTTGGATGAAAGGGGAAGACAAGCAGCGCGACCGAGCTTCACCGCGCAGCTCCTCCAAACCGCTTGCTTTTCGTTGCAGACCTCGGCTGGAGGTTAGCCCAAAGCAATGGCAAAGGAGCTGAGACGGGGATTAGCCGCCAGTGCCCACGCAGCCCCGGGCTGCCCTTTCCCTGCCGCAGGGAAAGGATTCCTGGGAATAATGCCCCGGAGCAGCCGCGAGCAGAGAGACTCACTGCAGCCGAGAGCCCCGGGGACACGGGGGTGCCAGGGAGCGGGAAGGGGCTGGAATCAGGGATCGCTCCAGGCCCTCCGGACATTTAAACCCTCTGCCGCTGCGTCGCTTTGGGGCTCGTTTTGTTGTTGTTCCCTTTGCTGCCCAGTTCACTTTGTCAGGCTGAAAACTGGAGGTTTTATCCCCCCCTCCAGTCCAGACGGTCATTTTCCACCTGGCAGGCGCGAGTTTTATTAGTTATCCCTAATGGAGCCTGAAATGATGATGGAGCAAGGAGGTCTCCAGCCCCTTTCCCTACCGTTTGCCGGATGGGCTCCACTGTGGGATGAGCCCCCTTGCCAGGGAATACTCGGATGCACAGCCTGGATGGAGGCTCCAAAAGAGTGCCAATAATGGGATTTCTGACAGCAGGTCCTATGTTGCAGGTGGTCTCCCTTTAGTGGGCTTCAATTTGTGCTTTGGGGACCCTGTGGTGGCTCCTCGTGCTGCTTTTCGGGTCCGCCTTTGGTAAGGGGAAGAGGGACTGTGATCCCTGTGCCAAAAGAGCAAAACTAAATGAAATATATAAATGATTTTTGTACATGTGGGATAGGGAAAAAAGGAAAAATGTTTATGGTTCTTCAGCCCACCTGAAGCACATGCCGGTCCTTGCAGCCAAAGCCTGCATGCGATTGCCACCTCAAAGACCTTCTAGCGGGCTCTTCTTGTAGGAAAACTGGCCAAGGACACGGACAGAAACAACCTGAACAAGCTGTTCTCCCAAGATCTTTTCTGAACGGCCCCTATTTCCAACGTGATTCCTCTCCACAGCATTCACTGGATAGCTACAAAAGGGATCACAGCTGCTAGCAGCGGCCTCAGGAAAGATATTCCAAGTTATTCCAAATTACTACATCCTTCTGGTTAAAGGAAGCTTTCCCCAGCTGGAAAGCAGCTTGTTCCCAAATTGGCCGTAAGGCGGCCAGTGGTGGCATTGCCACCGGCCTCCACCTTGCATGAAGAACAGCTGGAATGAAGAACAGCAGCTGGAATGACCAGTGGGCAGGGAACACACCTGGAGCACGGGGCCATGGGCGCAGGGCAGCGCAGCCCAAACGGGGCAATGTGCCCATTGCAAGTGGGGCAATGTGCCCATTGCAAGCAGAGGGATGTGACCGTTGCAAAAGGGAGATGTCACCATTGCAAGAGGTGCTGTGACCATCGCAAACAGGTAGAGGTGCCCATTGCAAGGGCTGCACACATGGGTGCTCTCCTGCTCCCTGGTGCTTCCTGCTCTCCCAGCACCTCTCAATCTCCAGCACTGCATCTCAGCATTTGCAGCATTTGGAAGTGCCTCCATTCAACCCTCTTCCATAGAAATCTCTTTAATACGGATATCCAGAATTACGGCAACCTATTTCTCTCCATTTTGCTTGTCCTTGCTGCTGAGGCTGCTCCCCATGAGCTCCAGAGCCTGGAGACTAGAGAGATAACTGGGAGAGAGGAAGACCTTCCACTGGCCAAGGAGGACTGGGTTGGGATTATTTAGGCAAACCGGCCACCCACAAATCTACGGGCTTTAAACTCAGCTTTAATTCACCAGCAAAAGGGAGAGATCCACCAGGCTCGCGCTGCCGGGGACATCCCTGTCCCCGTGCCCAGGATGATGCACGGGGAGCTCCCCATGACCGCTTGGGTTTTGCCATCCGCTGCAGCACCTCTCTGCAAAAATTTGGCATTTGTGTTTGCTTTTGTGGAGTAGTTTTTGCAATGGCCTTCTGAAAAAAAAAAATCACAAAAAAAAAAAAAAAAAAAAACCCACCAAAAAAAACCCCCAAAAATGCTATTTTTTCTTTCATCTCATGCATTCAAGAACGGATGGAGCAAAACCTGCCGCATCCTCCCCAGCCCCTGTATCCCCCCAGGGCCTCCTCACCCCGCGCGTCTGGCAGCGGCTCCAGCCTCCTGCTCAGTCCCCGCGCACAAAAGGCCCCGGCCGCGCAGCACCTGCTCGTGCCCGCGGGGGACGAGGTGCCAATTCTGCATCCCAGGGAGGGGTTTTTTTGCAATTTTCCCCTCGGATGCTCTCGTTTCAGGTCTTTTTTCCCCACATTTGGCGGCTGGGTGCGTGCGCGCGTGGAAGCGGAGGTCCCGAGGACAGCAACGCGTCCCCCGGACGCGTTGCTGTCCTCGGGACCTCCGCTTCCACGCGCGCACGCAGCCAGCGCCGTCGGATTGCACCGATTTTTCCCTACCAGCGCTCCTTGCTGCGGATCCCTCCGTGTTTTCCGCAGCGTTTCCAGCACGAGATGATCGGCGCAAGCGGTTGCATAACCCCCTTGTGCAAGAGGAGGCTGAAAAAGAGGCAGAAGTTAAACGTTCCTGGAAGCGCACGGAGAACGGCGGCCAAAGCCCATTTCCAAGGGGCCAAATGGGAAACATCCGACCAAACCACAGGCTGGAAATGAGAGGGAGCAGCTCTGGGGCCCCGGCCTTGCTGGCTCGGAGGGCAACGGCCTTGAGAACAGCAGCAAAAAGCCCAGGGGAGGCGACTGGCTAGAGCTCCCCGCGCAAACGCAGAGGTTTAAGGTACCCTTAGCCAAAACTAATGCGAGAAGCTTCAAATAAACAACAAAAACATCCCAGCAGCAACACTGCAAATGGCAGAAGCAACAGGAATAGGAGAAAAAAAAAAGCTGGACTCTACAGTGGGAACCACTCTTTTTCTGGGAAAAAACGATGATTTATTTACTCCTCCCCACACAAAGATGAACGTTTCTGTTCCAGGGACATGGGGCCGGAGTCCAGGAGCTGGCGGGACACTCGTGTGAGCTGTTAACGTGGGTTTTCCAGCCGTGCCGGGGAGGCTGCCGCCGCTACAGGGAACACTGGGGGGTTCCAGGCCTTTCCCTTCATCGTGTTTGAGGAAACGGGCACTAAACCAAAGCGCCTTCCCCTTCCATCCACCTGCAGGAAACCGAGCGCGACTCCAAAGGCGGGAGCGGGTAGGATTGAGCAGGGAAACAGGAGTGATTATCCAAGTGGTTTCATGGAAAACAGACCCGCGCTGGGCTCGGGAGTGGCTTTTGGGAACTCTGGCAGAGCTCAGAGCATTAACGGGGTCTCTGTCCCCAAAGCCACTTGATTTGGGGCCACACAAGGTGAACTGGACAGCACATTGAGATTGCACCTGTGCTTAAATGTGTTAAAATCACCCCAAACGCAGGAGCAAAGGGCAAGGCAGAGCTCCCCAGGGAGGTTTGTGGGCTCCAGGGAACACCGGGATGACCCAATCCAGCCCCAAACCCGCTCCTCACACCACCCAGGACAAAGGCCTCTGCTCCCTTCAGCAACGAGAAGGCAAAGGGGCGACTTAATTACAGCCCGTAATCACCAACGAGGGGTATTTTGAACGCAGCAATAAAGAACATGTCAATCCAGCAACCCCCAGCAAGACGACGCAGGCGAGCGGGACAAGCACAGACTACAAATAAGACTCAGCTTTGGGGCAGGAGGACAACTGAAGCTGCCCCAAGAGAGGCGGGCTGGGGCTCCGGCTCACAGCGGGCTCAGCACCAGCCACTGCTGCACAGAGGCACTCACGCTACAAGGCAACTCCTCTTTTTATTCAAAGAACAAAACAAAAAAAAAAGATATTTTAATAAATACTGCAGAAACATGAACCAAACATACAAAGTGACTTCAACGATAAAAAAAAGTAATGGATGTCCTGTTTTATAACAGTTATAACTTATTTTCTTTTCACAATATTTAAATACAGAAAGCACTTACCAGCTATTTTGTAATACTGCCCTAAGCGCAGGGTTGCATCAGTCACAAGCTTATTACTGGTGGTAAAAACATCTTTTTTCTGGGAAATAACTGGATTTCTTTTTTTCAGCAGATGAAACAAAGTGCTGGGAACATATGGAGTATTAACTATGGTAAATCTTTACCTTGCACAAGTCAACATGAACACAGCTTTAATACTTCAAAAATGAAGCATTTTCCTTGGAATGCTTGTTCTCAACAAGCTATAGCCCCAGGGGCTCGAGCTTACAGTACCCTTGCTTTGAGAGGAGCCACCAAGCGATACCGCTCAGTAAACACTTGCAAACCATTTTAAAGGCTGGTTTATTTAACAGGAGTCATCAGAAAGCTAGAAAGAATCGAGTCAGGGGGTTAAGCTGAAGTTAAGCTTAGTGCTGGCTGCCTGGCTATGGCTAGACCAGCCTGAAAGGCCGAGTTCAGGACCCGGTTCCCACTGGGGACCCCTTAAGGCATCGCAGGCCCCGCGGCAGAACCCGCGACCCGAGCAATGCCGCTCCGGGCGCCACACGTTCCCAGATTTCCTTAAGGGATAAGGCAGGGAAGCGCGGTGCGGAGCAGCACCTCTCCATAGCCTTGCAGAGGGCTAAATGCCGGGAAGCTGCCAGGCTCTTCCAGGCCCAGCAGAAGCAGAGGAGGCTCAGGGCTCCCCCCAGGCAGTAAGGCTTAATGAGTTACTTTAAAACTAAGGATCAGTTGTAATCACAGCTCTTTAGCACCTTTCACTTGATTTTAGAGCCGAGCCTACAGTGACACATACCCACACAGTACCCCAGACCTTGCGAGCATTTCCACGTTAAGTTACAATCACAGAGAGGAAGGGAGAGCCTGGAGTGCTGGGAGAGGCAGGAGCTGCGCCATGCGCCGGGCAGGGCTGCAGGGAGGGCACTGGGACATCGGGAGCTCCAGAGCCATCCTCGTTGCGCACTGGGACACCGGGAGCTCTGGAACCATCCCCATCTCCACCAAGAGGCCCCAGTTCAGCTCGCGCTGCCGTCTCAGCAGGACAACCTCCAAACTCCTCCCATAGTGTTTCCTTCTCGGGGACCCAGGGGCCTTGGCGTAATCTCCGTGTTAACGCTGAGCTACTAGAAAATATCATATCCTCTGGAAAAACCAACTCTAAATCACAGGGAGAGCTTCCTAAGGAGGAGGGCACATTAATGAAGTCTTTTTTTTAAAAAAAAGTCAAAATATTATCAAAATCAAAGTGGTAGCATCCAGGAGTAGAGCATTAACAAAACAAACAAGCACTGACAAGAGCATCTCTCCTTTGTGGGGCTATTTTCCCATTTATCCTCTTCTCTCAGCACATTCAAATATTTTCTTTTTTTTTTTTTTGGTATTTTCTTCCACGTAACATTTCTCGATGCCACCTCATTTAGAGCCGTTTCTTCTCACTGCTTGGTCTACGTGCTCAGTCCCTAAGTACAGTCTCACAATAGGCGAAGAGGCTCCTTAGGAGCCCTGGCATAAGCCCTCACTACACACCATGTGGCTGGGTACTTCACGGAGCCTTCACCTCTCCCAAACACTCTTCCTCCTCCTCCTCCTTCAGGTAACCGAGGTCCTTCACATCACCGTGCAGCTCTTTGCTTTGTCCTTTCGCAAGTCCGTAGCCACTGTGGAAAGTTCTGGCCTGCCAGGCATGTGTGAGATCCGCTTCGTTGCCCTCTGCGATTTGTTCCGCTTAACATTTTTATTTGTTTTATTCACGCACGCCAAGGTGGCAACATGAAAAATGTCTCTGACACTGTTTTCTGACTGTAAGGCTGAGCATTCAATATACGTTGCTGCTCCAATCTGCTTGGCCATATTTGCACCCTAAGGGAAAAAAAGAAACACACGATCAATACCAAGCTTCCCAGAGAGCCAAAGCAAACCCCAGAATCACTCCGCAGCTCTGTTTTCCATACAGTGTTTGGAGAAAAGCAAAGCTGAAACCCCAGTGTGACAGCCAGCAACGCGTTCCGCAAAACAAACACAGCTTTGGTTCCAAGATGTATTATACAAATATCCAGGCATTATTCCCTGCGAGGGAAAACACAATTTGAAAGAGAAGTGATAAGCTCAGTGATATACAAATAGCTGCAGAAAGCCCAACAAATAGTTAGCAGGGCCTTTTTGCAATTACACTCCTGTGCCTTACTTGCATCGATGAAGTAAAACACACAGGTTTGGCAGCTTCCTCATTCAGGGCTCACATTTTGGGGGAAAAAAGGGTATTTTGATTCATTTACAGACTGGTGGCTATGCTCTTGTCTTGCAAGATTAAGTCCTTGTTAAGTTTTGGGGGGCAGGACAGTGGTTACCCAATCCTTTCTCTCATAACTAAGTGTACTAAAAATCAAAATAAATATTTGTTCCAGCAGCACAAAAGAAAAAAGTCGAGTTACTGTGACAGACAACAGCACTTCAGTAACTGGTGGATCTTCCTACAGGAAAAGTGACAGCAGTGTGTGGAGAAACAAGGAGGATTATTTCACTGGACTTTTCCTTCCAAGTGGCAGGAGCAGAGAGGCCTTCCAGGGAGTTTCCAGCCCCAGCCCTGTCCCGGCTGCTCCTCGTGGGGCCACGGAGCTGGGACGGATGGAGGGAGCTGTGGAGCCACCCGGCCGAGGGCACGGCGTGACGCACTGTTTGCACAGCCCTCGTGCACACATTTTCTTATCAAGGGCAAGCATGACCCACTGATAAATCAGCATTAGTTTCTAGGACCAAGCCCTCTCCAGCGTTAAATACCTTAACTCCAACTGATTGGGCTTTCTGGTGTTTGTTCAGGTGGCGCTGACTGGAACTGGCAAGCATGTACAGAAAGAGGGTGTCACCAAAACCTCCAAGTACTTCCTTGGCAAAAAGTAGTGAAATAAAGTCCCTGAAGTCGGGTTCCATGCCGACTTAGCAAGGAAATTCACGTAGCTTGTGGGTCCCAGCTCCAGGAGGCTTCACATGGAAGACCCTAAGCAGCATGTGGGGAAGTCACATTTCTTCCCCGGCCACTTCTCACAGCAGTGAGGCATTTTAATATCAGAACTGCCTTATTAGCAGGTTTGATGATTTCAGGAATGTTTTGACTCATTTAAACAGAGAGGAAGAGAGCAGTGCTAGTGTTCTGGGAACTTTAAAAACCACATTAATCATAAGTTTTTATAAATTACAATGTGAATTCAATCTTTTTCCCCACTCATTTCCAATAGCTTTGCCATTCAGCTTTCATGCCAAACAGACTATGTAATTAAGCAAACGAGCTCAGGGAGACTAACCCCTTTAACGCCCTACCGCTAAGCTGTGCCGTGAAGCAGCCTGCCCTGGGCCTAGCACATGACAGCATGGGGTTGTTTTATACCCCTGTTGAGCATCAGCAACAGTCAGCACAGAAAATGAAGTTTTAGTGAGCAGTGGTTCTACAGAGAATACAAATAAAAGTGAGCAAATTTGGGGAATAAAACCCTTACTGCATCATGGACAAGCTTCCACTTGTGCTTTAGCCAGCAAGTGTAGGTAATGGGTTCCTAGTCCCTTGTCTTCATCTAAACCCTACTCCTAAGGAGGACAGGCTAAGCTGTAGCACAAGATACAGGAACCTCCCGTTCCTAGCATCAGAAAATATTTATTGAAGGGCTTTTATTCACTCTTCATGGAAGAGGGTCAGATTTAATCATGCTACTGAAGTATTGTGAAAAAGTTTAACGTATGAACTTCAGATTGGTTATGGCAGACTGGATTTCTCCAGAGGTCTGTTTTTCCTCTCAAATAGCATGGAAGATAACAGGGCTGAACATGAGCACACATTAGCATAAGCCACCACTTTTGTTTCATCAAGACCAACTTCTGCAATTAGATTTTAAGGAAACTTCTGAATCTTTTAGCACACTTGAAGTGGCAGTTTTGCTTCAAGTATAACCTTAGGTTGCATAGATATTTATCAAGTTAAGCACAACAAAAAAAGTTAATGAAACCAGCATAAGCCAGACTGAAACAGCTCCTAGTGTATTTTAATTAAGATAGTCTATAGCATCTCAGCATTTTTAATTTTAAGCATGCTGTAGGAGGCTGTATTATTAGTAATTGCATGTTAGGAGCTGCTGGGTTGGAAAACCTGAGGCTTTGGCATAAGACATCAAAAAGTGTTTGATAGTGTAGGACGTGCACACTAGCTCCAGCTGCCTAGGCAGGTACCATTCTCACTCTTACACCCTGCAGGATACATTTGATACCAACATTTGACTCTGAACACATAAATGGGAGGAATTCCTCTGGATCCTACTTCCTGCCTGCTGTTTTGGCACCATGGACATGGACAAGTGTTTTGACATCGTGAACATACCCACGCTAGGAGGGAGATGTTCCTGAAGGTGACTGCAGAGGCAGAAAGCACCTTTCCCCCTGCCCAAGCACAGCAAGCGGCAACACTCACCTGATCGTAGGACACCGGCGTCTGCCTGTGGTTGGAAAGCTCCACCAAGGTGCTCACATCCGTGCGCAGGTCCGACTTGCAGCCCACCAAGAGCATTTTGGTGTTGGGGCAGAACTCCTGGATTTCACCTTTCCACTGGAAAAGGTCAGGTTGTTACTACACTGGAATTGTTTAGCGGTTAGATTTATCACAGAGCAACGGAAACGGGAGGAAGCTGGATAGACCATGCAAGTTTATGGAAAAATAGCTAAGCTTTCATAACCAGTGGGTGTTTAGCTTGAAGGTAGCTCTGAAGGCACCAGAACCAGCAGCACATGATCAGGGTGAAACCTCCATTCCACACACGTTAGTTCCACTGACTTACTAATCAAAAGAGAACAAATGAGATCATGTTTACCTGCATGAGCAAGAACCTGCAGGTATGTCCCTCCCTACAGGCAGGGAACAGTTGGCCGTGACCATGTACTGCCAGGAGCCAATGGGGCTGGTTCATCAGAACTGAGCTATGAGGCATGTTTGGTATGAAAAGATATGGGCATAGATCAGTTCTCAGCTACATTCCACTACCTAAAAATACCTTAACCTCCAAGATGCTCAGGTGTGGTTATCCCAGAAACAAGCCATTCAAACAGGCTGCAGAGTTGCCTTTCTAGTTTTCTCACAATAACCCCGTGTGGGTGGGAAGGGACACAACAAGTTCTTTGACTTGACTTCTTGAGGCTTGTTGGCATAAGCGGTTGTGAAGCCAGTCTTCAGGATTTTCTGTGAGCTACTTAGAGCACTGCATGCTACTTCATTGCCATCAAATCAGGAGTCAGGTTAATCAAAAACATTATTTGGAGAGTCCTTAAGGTCTAACTCAGTTGAGAATCAGGCACTGAATCCTGGATCACCGAGCTTCTGAAGAAGTCAAATTTGGTGTGGGGTTACACTTTTATGTGATTGTTAAGTCTTCCTGGTGTCTTCCAGCATCATTTGCTGGCTCTAACTTAAGGCTGAGAAATAACCAAGTCATTACACAGGTCTAAACACTTTAGAGATGTTAACTGCATCTGTCAATGAGTTTTAGTCTGTTATGAGCATAGTTTGAGACAGCTTCTTGCTGCATGGGATTATCCTACTATTCACTATTGTTAGGGCAGAGGAATGACAGCTTTGCTTCACATCTAGAGCTTGCATTAGGCATTCTTTGTTTTCAATTAACTGTCATTCCTTCCAAATGAAAAACTTGTGTTCTAGCAGTGCTCAACAGTCTGGTCTAGTTCCACTGAGAGAGAAAAAACAAACTGAGGTTTTCAGCGTAGGAAGCTGCACTTTTGAGTTTTAGAGGCAGGCTACTTACAAACAGATCAGTACTCAAACATTTCTCAAGCACTTGCCTTTTTTAGCACGCTGTCAAGAGTTTCTGGCCGACTAATATCAAAACATATCAAGACAGCATCGGAATCTGGGTATGAAAGTGGACGGACATTGTCGTAGTAAGGGGATCCTGCAGGGAAAAAACAGAACATTATCAGTTTCATGTTTAAGCTTTTCTACAAGTTCAAGTTTTATTCAGCAAGTTTAGCAGAAGTTTCAGAGTAGCCCTTGAAGGGCAGCCAGCTATTATCTTTTCTTTATACTAGATATTGCCAAAACATGAAGCTGCTCATTTCCCCATTTTTCTTTTGTCTCTAGCTTACAAAAGGAACAGTTCTCGGAAGCAGAGGAGAGGGATGGCACTCAAGTGATTCATCTCCCACCAAAAGCTTGGGATGCTCCCCAATAACCAGGAAAGGAAAATCGAGTCAGAGCAGGTTTAAGCCCCAACATTTCAGTTCCAAGTGCAAAAAGGCATTTTTAGTTGTCATGGTTACAAGGCACTTCCTAGCAGAAAAGGATTCCAATCATCAGGCTTGCTTGAGTAAACACAGCTCTAGCAGAGTAATTTGCACACCACTCTACAAGCTTGCAGTAAACTTTCACATTTAGCCCATAAACCAGCTTTTGATTAATGGAAGATCAAAAGCCAGGTTTATCTGATGGAATGCAGGCATTGCTTTGTGCATACTTTATGCCAGTACTGGTAGCAGGTATGCTGTTAAGTGCAGCGTTACAACAGCTCAGATCTCATTTCTAGTGTTTGCTGAATTTCAAGAATAGATTTTGGAAAAAAACTTCCCCCTCCCATCACAACTAGCATTCAGTTTAGCCTGAAACAAGTGAAGTTTCACTTCCCCAGGAAAATACATTTCTCATTCAGAAGGATATTTGAATGGTGATCTAATGGTGGAAGGGCTCTGACTTTGAAACGCATGCCTGAAATTTCAGACAGCCCTGTTAGCCATGTAATCTTGGTCTTTCACAGACCTAAAATTCAGCACAGGGGACATGCAACAAGAATACAGCTTTCAAGAAGTCACACATAAGCTCAGGGGTTATCATCTTATTGTATCACTCATTTTCTTCACGCTATCTAAAACTAATCGTCTATAAGGTCTCTGAGGCTAAGCAGATTATTAACTGGATTAGAGAAATTCCTCGAGTTTAACTGACAGACAGCTCATGCTGTTGCACAGAGCAGAGCGGGGAATGGTGTGAATGCATCACAGATGACTTCAGTTGGGCAGCTTATGCTAGCAGGAAAGAGTAAAGAATCCCAGGAATGTTGTTTTTGAAGCAAAGGGTAACACATGGGGAATGAAGTGTTACCAAACTAGGTAGCAGAAGGTAGTTTGTTGAACGGGACTATTTTATTCAAGTGTTCATCTTCACAAATGTCAGTCTAACAGAGGCAATGCTCAGAGGGCTTTTCAGAAACTGCTAGCTGTCTTCAAGAGCAAGCGGCACGTCAGGAAGACACCCAACAAGCTGACCTGCCTAGCTCACTATTCAGGCTCCCGGGCCAAGCTCTCCTCGCAGCTGCAGTCTATAAGTTAGCAAGAGCAGGTTTATCTCCTGGAGCACTACTATGGCACTGCCCAGGGCCACATTAGTTGCCCAGGGCAGGTAGTTTGCTGAGGAGGGTGCCCATTAAACAGCCAGCCCTCATGCTCCAGGCTGGTGCAGGACAAGGTGCAGCCTGAGCACCAGCCTGCTCCACAGCACCGCGGCCTCACGATGCTCAGGCAAGTAAGGGCAGGATTAACGCCTTGTCTTGAGCATCATCATTGTTAGGCCAAATAGTTGCTGGCTAAAAAGGAGTCTAAGCCTCACCCAGAAACTAATTCCTTAGACACATACCTAATGCCTCGCTCACCAGTCTTCAAGGACACAACGCACCATATATGTCCATCAGCGTGTATTTATGTATACATACAGTCACCAGCTCCAGCTCAGGCTCCACTTACGTGTTCAGCTGTAGCTGTGTTTGTTTTGAGGGCTCAGATTTTCCCTCTGAACCTCATATTAAAAATGCTGAGCACCAGAAGCACATTAGTTTCTTCTAGGCAGTGTCATTTAAAGAAGAGTGTACACTAACAAGAACTATATTTCCTAGTCACATTCTACCCCAGCAACCACCTTCACTGCCGCACAAATGTGTAGAGCAGCTCCAGACTTTCCTCCGAGTGTGTTTAACGCAGCATTGCATTATTTTACCCAGAGAAATCCTCAGAACCTAGGAATCCTAGGAATGAGGCTCAAGTCTAAACAGACAAAGCAAGCAGAGCCCAGCGAGACTCTGCTCAGCCTCCCCAGTGAGCCGGCAGATTTGAAGCCATGCCAGCCCACAAGAACATGAGGAGAATGCACAGCTACAGCCATGGTATGCCTGGAAAAATAAGCCTATTTGTTTTATCTTGCAAGACCAGAATCTATTGCATTTTTGTCAAAGACAACTGCAGTAATTTTCCTGTTTTACCAAGGAATTGGGCGATAATGATGCAGTGTATCCGACTGAGTTCTAACTGCCTTCGATTCTATATCTGTTTTGCAGTTTAACTAATTCAGACCTAAATAATCCATGTATTTTAATAGAAATCTAGCTCCACGTTCTCTGTTCTTGAACTTTTTCTTTCCCTCTGTATAACTTCCAAAATGAATTAGAAACCCCGCTCAAAACTATTTGGCTCTAGAATCAAGATGACCCCAAAGCTCAGGCTTGAAGTGCTGCTATTAATAAAGCCACCACCAAATTATTCATAGCCAAAGTTCAGCTTCTTTTTACAAGATCGCCTTAGCACTCCTGGAGGCCCCTAGATCCTTCACATCGGAGCCCTGTTTGCCTGCAAGTCGCCCAGCCCCGTGGAGGTGACTCAGCCCCACGTCGCAGTGTGGGGCAGAGCTCCTCCCTGTGCAGGCAGCCGTGAGAGGAGCCTTCTGGAGCCACTCGGACCGGCAGCAGAGCCATCTCACCCCACATCCTCACTAATTATCTGCCCCATAGAGACCACCAAACACTGCAACAGCAACTTCAGCCAGCTTGCTCGCTGCTGTCCCCTCTCCAAACCCCTCCTGAGTATTTATTTACTAACCAGCATCATGTGCCTTCTGCAAACACGGGAGCTTTGCAATATTCACACCATTTTCTGCATTTAGATCTGCAGACCGCAAGCAGGACCACCTACTGAGCAGGTCATCTAACATTCCCATCAGACAGGCCTAGTTCTTCCCAGCCCTCAAGGGAAGAGAAACCCAAGAATGGTGACTTTTCTTCATGAGAAGAACAACTACATGACTGAATACAATCCACTTGTCACGTTTTTATTGTTGCCTGTAAGCTTGCTTTACATTACATTGCCCTCGTGATGATTAGCTAGCACCAAAACCAGTATCCTGAATTCTTATGTTAGATACTTTCTGAAAGTTACTTCAGTAAAAGCCTTGTAATTAACACTACTTTCTTACATAGATACTGAACGCTGAATACCGCACATTCAAACCACAGTAAAGCTAATTTGGTTTAAAGCTCTAAGGCCCTTCTGGTTTTAATTATATGCTAATCCCCAGCACTGTTTAAGTATTCCTGGCCCTGTTGATTTTTTTTTTATTAGCATACCCAGTACAATGTCCACAGTTAAACCAATAAAAACCCTGAAAGATGCTGTTAACAGATACCTAGTTAGTTATTAGCATTTAATTTCTATGCAACAGCCTTCATTGAAGGAGTAAGAAAGATGACTGTTAAAAAAAAGCAGTCATTCTTAATGAAATATGCCAAACTTGGTAAAGACATATTAAACCATGTATATCTTCATAAAGATGTCTATTATGCAAGTATTCCTCACAGTATCCACGAAATCACATGAAGCTTCTTTAGCCCCAAGAAGCTTCTTGCAAATGTTCTACCTAACAAAATAAACATACAGCTGCCAAACAGCTGAAGACTGCCATTCTGTATTACCACAGAGTGGAATAATTTATAATGGCATTATTGCAACCAGACATTCCTGCTTTGAATAAAGGGTTGGTAGTCCAAAAAGCCAATTGAAATTCAAATTGGCAAGTGCCGTCCTTAGTGCTGTGGCTGATTTAAATCTTCATAATGACTTGCAGAACTAGACAGTACTAGAAAACCCTGTTAATAAATATTCCCATTCCACTCATGTCTTGCCCCATATTTTGGGGGATCTACCCGAGATATACAATAAAAATCTGCCCCACAAATTTACAGCTGGCTTTAAGAGTTTCTACAAGCATAACTACAAGATGTAGGGCATCATGTAATTGGTGGTCCTCCAGCAAGTACATAATTATTATACAAGTAATTATTTTTTCAGGTAGCAGTGGAGCCTGTTTGCATGTTGATGCAAGACTTATTTTAATCAAAGCTTTCAACTTTCCCCCGCGCATTTCCTCAAAATGGCAGTATCTTCCTATCAAGAATTCAGTGGGAAAACTGGCATTCACTTTAACTTGCATATTGACTAATTAGCAAGGCAGTTCAGCAAATGCTTGCTGTTAGAAAGCAGCATCAATTTTTAAACCCACTTCTGCTTTCTAAAGTCTGCTCAAGTCATCTTCACATATCTGACAATGCTTGGCTCCTAAAAGTTAGCTCCTAAATTAAAGAGACCTTTTGTAGCTACAGAGGTATCCCAAGTGACAGGGCCAGCGACTCCCTAGGCTGCAGCAGATATTAATTGCCAAACAGTAATGGAAATTAGGTCTTGTTCTGAATTCAGTTAGACCTTTTCCTACTTTTAAAGTTACGCCATTTACTCAAATTCACCAGAAAACTAGAGCAAAGACTGGGCCAGATCTTTTTAAGAATGTATTAGCAAGAAATACAGAGACAACAACAGGTAGCATGTAGCACTATCTTATCTGGTGATGCAATTTTACACCTAGCTTACAGGTTTGTCGCAATATTTCTTCCTGCAGCCAGTGGGAACCGCTGATTACGGAGCAACACTTGACCCACACACTCCCACAGCCAGAGGAACTGGTGCTGAACACCACTTTGCTCAACACCAAGCATTTGATCTTCCAAACACTTCCTCTCCTAGGTTCAGATTGCAGACAAGTTAGCCTCTTGATCCTCAGCCTCTGACTCAGAGGAGTTTTCTGCTAGTTCCATGACAGACCTTGTAGTACCACACATGTGCAGAGACCAGCAGCTGCGAGTCCTTCCACTGATACCCATCTTTGGAACACAACAGGACATTTCCTACAAGGGGGTCCCCGTCTTGTTTCTGTTCTATATAGAGATTCCAAGTCTATGTATCAGAGGACTTAATCTGCAAGCATGCTTTATGTTAATAGCCAGATACATTAATAGTCAAATATGATTTTTTTCCCCCTAGAATATTTGTAGTTATTTGAGATGTTAATCCATAGCTCCCTTCAGCGAGCCCAACAGCCAGGAAGACAACTCCAGTCAGACACATTCCAGAAGCCGAGCTTGGCAAGAGATGAAGAAAGTCAGTTTAAAACTATGCTGATACCGAATGTGGGCAGAAAGGCTGCCTGCCTTTTCCCAGTAACAGTGTTGCAAGAATCTGGAATCATTTCCTCAAGAGCAGAGGGAAAGCCAACTCGCATCCTGGCCCGTAAGCATGGATACAGGTTTGATTTGTGGTAAGAGGGCCAGTTTCACATTCAGGAGGAAACTCCCGGCCCCCAAATCAACATTAACATAAGCCAGCCACAAAACCTGTAGACCTGCTTGAAGAGAGGACCTGTATATCCTGCCAAGCGCCTTCAGCTTCTCCTCCATGGCTGCTGCCATTTAGTGGCCATTCACATGCCACCTCCGGCCACCTCGCAGAGAGCCCTCAATTCCCTACCCACAGGGGCTCCCTGGCCACTTCCACCTCCCTCCAACCAGTTCCCATGAAATTCCAGGGCTCATCGTCACCCCGCTGGCTGCCCGCCTGGCCCCATCGCAAGCAGTGCGGGATCCAGAGGAGCTACCGGTGTCACGGGACATCCAGCCACAGATTTGCAGGCCGGAGACCGCACAGTGCGGCTCAGCCCTTTGCCGTCCCCGTGGGTGAAGCAGCCCTGGAAAACAAGCCGGGCTGCTGCTTCTGAAATGGCCACCGAGAGCAGGGCCAGAGGATCGAGGACCCCGAGGGCTCCTCACAGGGGCTCATCCCGCTGCAGACCCCGGCCCTCGGGCTGCTCCAGAGCCTCTCTGCTGGGGGTAGAAGTGCCGGATTTTGCTTTTTTAAAGGAAAAAAGCAGAACCGCCCAATTTCATTTGACACCAGTTTACACCAACACGCATCCCTATCCGATGCGGGCTCGGAGCCCCAGCGCAGATCAGTTCAATGACCACCTGGATGAGGTGCTGCGGCCAAGCAGAGGGGAAGCCAACACCGGGGCGCACCCACACCCCTCCTCTCCCCAACTCACGTCAAATACGTGACTCAGATTGATTTTAGATTAAAATAAGAAGAAACAGAGCCAGATACGGAACCCCGCGTGAGGACACGCGCCCCCGGGGGGCCGAGGGGGTTAAACCCGCGTCGCCCCGGCGACCGTCGGGGCAAGATGGCGCCGCGCGGGAGGCACCTGCGCGGGGCCCGCGCGCCACGCTCACCCGACGTGTCCCACAGGCTGAGCTCGATGCGCTGCGCGTCGATCTCGAAGCTGGCCGTGTAGTTCTCGAACACCGTGGGGACGTAGCTCTGCGGGGAGGCAGGCGCGGCCGTTAGCGCGGGCCGGGCTCCCCCGCGCGCCCGCCCGCCCGCTGCCCCCCGGCCCGCGCCGCGCCGAGCCCGCCGCCCCGCGCTCACCTCGGGGAAGCAGTCCTTGGCGAAGACGTGCAGCAGCGCCGTCTTGCCGCACTGGCTGTCGCCCACCACCACGATCTTGCACTTCACGTTCTGGTTGGGATCCATGACCGCCTTGCTGGATAATTTCTGGCTCGCTCTTCTTTCCTTCATTGAGGTCGCCTTAATCCCGTGGGCAGGAAGGCAGAAGGGAAGAGGAAAAAAAAAAAAAAAAAAAAAAAAAAAAAAAAAAAAAAACCC